TTCATTGGGAAGAAAACAATTTACAAGAAAAAATGAAGGTGACTCGACCTCAGGTAACAAATGACAAACCTATGAGAAATAGAAAGATTCTTTCACAATTCTTAAATTATCATATTTATTCTGATAATGTGATTTCAGCTGAGAGAGATTTAGTTTAACATTTGACACTCATGGCTGACATAAAACCTATAAATTTTGATGAAGCTATTACTGACAAAGTGTGGAGAAAAACTATGGAAGAAAAACTAGGAAACATTGAGAAAAATCAAACATGGGAAAGGTGGATTTACCCCTACACAAGATTTTTATTGGTGTCAAGTGGGTTTTTAAGGTCAAACTCAAACCAGATGACTCAGTGGTAAAGCACAAGGCCAGGTTAGTAGCTAAAGACTTCATGCAAAAAGAAGGAATAGACTATTCAAAAGTTTTTGCTCATGTGGCCAAATTAACAATAAGGTTAATTGTTTCTTTGGCTAGCTTTAAGTGCTGGAAGTTATGACAGCTAGATATAAAATAAGATTTTCTTAATGGATTGTTAGATGAGAAAGTTTATGTTGCACAACCTCTTGGACTCATGAAGAAAGGGAGTGAGCACAAAGTTATTACATTACGAAAGGTACTATGTGACTTGAAGCAAGCTCCTACAACTTGGAATAAAAGAATTGATACTTTCCTTTATGGTGTTGGATTTCAGAAATGTTTGGTTGAACATGGAGTTTACATCAAGACTGTAAAATCAAAGAGATTCTCATCATTTGCCTATATGTTGATGATTTGCTTATCATTGGGAGCTTGATATTGAATCCATTAGGCTGAGCTTGAAATGAGATTCGAGACGACAAATTTGGGGGTTTTATCGCATTTTATGGACTTAGATTTTGTTTACACTAAAATAGGAGTCATTATGCATAAAAAAAATATATTTATGAAATATTGAAAAGATTTAATATGTTGGAGTGCAATTTTGCTGAAACTCCGGTAGAGGTGAACCTAAATCTTACAACAAGTGGAGGTGAACCTAAATCTAAAAACAAGTGAAGGTGAATCATCAATGGATGAAACTTTATTTAGATCAATGGTTGATAGTCTAAGATTTATTTGTCAAAGCAAACCAGAAATTGCTTTTAGTATTGGGTTAGTATGTAGATTTATGAGTAATCCGAAACAATCACACCTAATGGCTGTAAAAATGATCATGAGATACCTAAAAGGGACTTTAAAATATGGAATTTAGTTTTTCTATCAAAAGAAGGAAGGCGATGATGATTTAAGGTTGGTTGCTTATTCTGATTTAGATTGGAGTGTAGATCTAGTTAAAGAAGAAGCACTATGAGATAAATTTTTCTTTTGGTTGGATCACCTATCTCGTAGAATTCAAGAAAACAAACCTCTGAAGCTAAATATATTGCCGCTTGCTCAGTTATTTTTCAAACATTGTGATTATTTTCTTTGCTTAATAAGTTGAATGTCTCTTATTAACAATTCTGGTGGATACCAATTCTATCATATATTTGGCAAAAAATCAAGTATTTCATGGAAAAACAAGTATATAGAAACAAAATTTCACTTCCTAAGAGATCAAGTCAACATGGACATGATACAATTCAAACATTGCAGGATAGAGGTTTAACTAACAATTATTATGATCAAAACCTTAAAGATTGAAAGATTCAAGAAATTAAGAGAATATTTAAATGTTTTATGTTTCTTATTGTAAGGTTTTTGAATTAAGGAGGAGTGTTAGGATATGATTCAAAACAAGACATTTACTTTTGTTTATTCCTTTTAAATTATCTTCTATAAATATTCTATCTACGTCTACATAGACTAGAATCTATATTCACCAATTAAAAAAAAGTTTATATTATATTGCATTTGAGTGCGCAAAATAATTTATGTTAAGTTATCTCTCGGTGCGCTACATGTTTCTCTCATTTTATGAATATTTTATTTACATGATTATAAAAATATTAAATACTTGAGTTGAAAACAACATGAAAATAAAATTTATTCAAATGATAAAAATAAATTGAATAAATGAAATTTAAAATTAATAATGTTATTATGAATTTTCTTAGTTAATTATCAATTCCTCCATGCAATAAATTAAAAAATTTCATTAACTTAAATTTAGTCTTCAAGTTTGTCATCTTTTTAACCACACCTATTTGATGGATTTGCACTACAATAATATTATTATTTAAATAAAAATCTTAATAAAATCTTACAAATAACATTATTCTATTTTTTTAAATATGTTATTTATAATAATTTTGTTTATAATTATTATTTAATATTGAATTTTCTGATAACAACACTAACTTTAATATATTTTGATATTTTTTTATAAGTTTAAACACATGTTACCGACGTCCTAAAAAAAAAAATGAGAAGATAAAAGAGGCCGGTAATAACAAAATAAAATAAAATACAAGATGATTTATTTAAAATTATCCATATTCCTTCAATAAATCAAAAATATGTTTTTTATAAAATAAAACTTGTGGGGGTTGAATTATATAAATAAAACTAACAGTGCTTGTTAATTTTTATTCACCTATAAAGTAATTTGATAAATAGATCTTACCTATAGTTTTTGAATTTTAACATTTTAAAAACTAAAAAGGAAACACTGCATACTTTTAAGAATTTAATCTAATATCAAAAGGATTATAAAATAGTAGTTAAAAATAATATACTCATAGCATATATAACATTATAGTAAAGAAAAAAAAATACAGACATAGACATCAATAACTTTTTTCTACGCGGAAACTCCACGTCTTATTCTTTAAAGACTTCCAATCTTTTAGGAACAAATACTAATTAAAGCCTCCAACGACCAACGTTTGTACTAATACCACGAAACGAGGTCAAAACCTAATTGACATTGCCTTAGAAAAATTGTAGTTAAATTTTGGTTCTTAGAAAAATTGTGTTAAATTTTTGTCCTTTGTTATATTTTAATTATTGTAAAATATTATTATTTTTGTCTTTTTCCTTTCTATCAATTATTTTCTAAAAAAACATCCAAAAAACAATAGTGAAAAAACAATTGAATATTTTAGATTTTAAATTATATATATATATATATATATTTTTTTTGTTTCAATATATTCATAAATTATATTTTCTTCCTAAATTATATTTTTTTCTTGTATATTAGTAAGTTTTATATATACTAATTTATTAAGACGAATTTTAATTAATAATGAATTAAATTTTTACAATATACAATAACTCAAATTATGATAAACCCTACTTATATTATTATCCTAATATATATATATATATATATATATATATATATATATAAAAAAAAACTTTCTTTCCATATATAATTTAGTCAAACGATTTAGTCTCATGTTGCTGTCAGCATAAAATAGTACTCCAACCTATTTCCACACTCAACCATGAATAACTTTAAATACCAATTACTGTTAAAAATAACAAAGCGTGTAAAATAATTTACTAATTTAATTTATAAAGTTATTACATTAAATATTTGACGTCAGATAAATATCATAATTAATATCCAAGTTCAACACCTTAAATAATTTTTATTTTTTATACATTTAAAATATAGAAACTTGCAAGTTATGCCGAAAGAGAAAAATTCAAATATATAACTTTTCTCACTTTTCTTTTCTTGTTTAGAGGTTCTTCCTAACATAATTTTAGTGGGCTGACTAATATTTCATAAAAAAATAGTCTCTCTTCTGCATCAAAAGATTATTAATTTTGAAAAATTAGGGATTAAATATCTCTATTTTAGAACGAGGAACCAAAATTGAAAAAAATAAATAAAAAAAATGAGAGACTAAAATTAAGTTTTTTTTTAATCTCTATAAAATCAGTATTTTTTATTATTAGTGCCTATAAAATCTCCTTTATATGTTATGCCCGAAATTTATAATGGTTAAATCTACCTGTCATAAAATAAAAAGATTTTGATTTAAAGTTTTTGTAAAATATTTTTATTTCAATCTTTCAAAATTTGAAATAATTATTTTTTAGTCCTATAATAATTTATTATAAGGTAAATAAGTAGTACTTATTTTATAAATTTAGAATATTTTGAAAGATAGGTCATTAAGGAGTGTTATGATAATAGAGGCTTTTTTTTCAATTTTTAAAAAATGTCATTTATTCCAAAAGAAACTAAACTTAAAAAAAATTTAATTATAATAATAAATAAATAAAAATAATGATAAGGAGAAAGGAGACAGAAGGTTGGAGGTAGCTACCTTCGCCTTTCTCTTTCATGAATCGTACGGATTACATCAATTTCCTGAAGCTAGAAAGTTCCACAAAAGTGGGAAGAGGAAGACTTAGACCTCACCACGCTACATAAAAAATATACATTTTTTTTAAACTAAAATAGTTCTATCAATTAATTAAAAAAATAATTTTCACCACACCCCACGGTAAATGTACCCATGCATTTATTTTATTTTTTTCCTTTAGTTGGATTAAATTCTACTTGGATAAATTTCATAGGACAAGAAAATAAAACTTATTTTGAAAAAAACTAAAATTAGCTTATTATAGATTAAGATAAATTAAAATCAAGTTCTTAAGAAAAAAGAAATTTATATACTTTAACTTTAGAAGTTCGTTTTTGCCTTTTGTGGTCTTTTATAGAAACTTCCTCTGTAGTGAGAGCTTTGTTATGCGTGGCAGAGGAGTCTTTGGCGGCTCCGCATGTCTCACGCCATTGCCATGATAAATTACGAAAATCAGAATCTTCTAGTGTTCAAATTGTTGGTCAATTCACTCCACGCGGCATTAGACAGAATCATCACTATATACAATACCTCTCTTGTTTCATATTTACAAGAACGCTTCATTTGATTTTTTGCATGCTCCTTCTTTTGGTCCTTCACGATCTTATGACATCTATTTTTGTTACTAGGGTTACGTATTTATTTTATACACCAATATATGTGTCTATGGTTTACAAAGTTTGGTGGTAAAATTGCTCTAGGGTTTATTATTTCATGGACAAACTAAGCCAATATGAACGTGTGTTCAAGCAATTGGACGGGAATGGCGACGGCAAGATATCGCCGTCGGAGCTGCAACAGTGCGTGGAGGCCATAGGCGAGGAGTTGTCGGCCGGGGATGCGGCGGCGGTGGTGACTATGCTGGACGCGGACGGGGATGGGCTGGTGGGGTTTGATGATTTTGTGAGGTTTGTGGAGGGAGGGGAGGAGGAAGAGAAAGAAAATGACCTGAGAGAGGCTTTTAAGATGTATGAGATGGATGAGAGTGGTTGCATCACCCCAAGGAGTCTTAAAAGGATGCTTAGTAGGTTGGGTGAATGTACGAGTATAGATGAGTGCGAAGTTATGATAGCTAGATTTGATCTTGATCGAGATGGGGTCCTTACCTTCGATGAATTTAAGGTCATGATGATGTTGTAATGTTTGGTTGTTTATATACTCCATTCTTTGATTTACTAGCTATTATTTATTGATATTCGTTGATGATTTTTTTTTATCTCTTCAATATTCTTAACATAAAGAAAAAATATATATTTTTCTCTCTCAACTCTCACGAGCCACACACAGGCCATAGAAAGTGAAAGCGTTCCTATTAAAAGCCAAAAGCATATTTTCTCATCTTTTTAAATGTAACATTTTCACTTTTTGCTGTCAAATAATTCATTGAAGAAATTAACAATTCCGTCATTATGATGTTAGCATGACATCACGTGTGTTGTGTGATAAGAAAATTGTTGCATATTGATATTGTGTATGTCAATGTACATTGAATGGGTGAAGATTGGAGAGAAAATTTGAAGATCCGAACGTGGCAATGTTGTGCAAGCATGAAATGAGTCATTTGATTCAAGCAAGATTAAGCAGACGTATAGCGCAAGCGATCCTTGACTTTTCTTGCGAGGCAGCTTACTAGACAATCTGTTGGGTGGTTTGCGCGTCTGATTCAAGACTCCAAGCGGTGTTGCAATTCGTCAATTGAATCAAGTGGTGCGTCTTTGATTCAGGCATGCGTAAGAAATAAAAATGTATTGGCAGGATCTATATAAGTCGGTTATGTTATGATAAAAAAATACCATTCATGTCTTACCAAAGTAATATTTCTGTAATATTGGAAATTTAATATTTATTCCACATGTATTCTTTCACAAGTTTCTTCTATTTTTTTTAGTGTTCATGTAAAAAAATTACATAATAATTGATATTAGTTTCAATTTTTTTTTTAAGTTTTCACTAGGACGAATGTCAAAATGGAGTGTTTAGTTTAATTTAACGTATATTTTTAAATAAATCGTAATTTTAGGTTTAATTTAATTTTATGTAAGTTCATATATTAATAAATCAAATTTAATTTGATTTAAAATAAATTTATTTAGATGTTTATATATATAAAAAATTAATAAAAAAACTTAAATAAAAAATTAAAAAGTTTATTTTAAGATTTAAATAATATTAATATTTTTTTATTTTAAATATAATAATTTAATATATAAATTAAAAAATATATATTTATTTAATCTTAAAATAAAAGTTAAAAACTTATTTTTAATTATCATCCTTTATACTTTTAATGATTTATTATCATTTATACTTTTAATGATTTATTTATCTAAAATAATAATTCATCTTAATTATTTAATCATAAAATAAGTAGATGTTATAAATTTCTTATATTTCACCTTGAAATAAATAAATTTCTAATAAAATAATATACAATATATATATAATAATATTATTTTTATTTTTATTTAAGTTAATGTAAATTATGACCTAAATAAATTAAACTAAAATAAGTCGAATTCAATTTAAGTTACCATATTGATCCAATAACACTTATAAGTATTTAGGTAATAAAAGGATATTGAAGAACAATTCATGATACATAAGGATTGTTTAAGAGAGTTGATTAGGTTGCTCAAACAGACATTAACCATTTCTCTCCAATAATTATTACAAAAAATTGTTAAAGCAGTACGATGAGGACGTAAACCAAACTTCGAGTAGCGATGTTAATTAATAAGGAGAGCGTCATAACCTCCTTTTTATACTTATACTTGTGGCACTTGATTTTTCTTGCTTTCATGAAGAAAATGTTAATAAGTAGATATATTAATGTGATGATTACTTCTTGATTGACTACACACATTGAATTCAAGGTAAAATTTGTCACTCTGCATATGGAGGGTTGCACTTTGTAATGAAACACGACTCTTACAAAATATTCTCTTCGTCTTTACTTTCTTGAGATAATTACACAAAGATAAAATGTACATTCTACATATCTATACAAAAATTAACGTATTCATGCATGATAAGAAATATTTGAACAAGAGTAGATGATTAAATGCTCTAAGAGAAAATTGAAGTTGGATATTTCTAACACACCCAAATGTGTCGTTATTCCTCCATCTTTCCAAATAATAGAAGAATAAAACAATGTTGCTCCCAAGCTCACAAAGATTGATTCTTTTAAAACAATTGTGTGCAAAATTAGTGCTAGAAAAGCACCAATTACTTCTATTGTTAGCATCATCATCTACTTTACTTGACTCAAACATACTAAAGAAATTTGAATCAAAATTTATTATAAATACTTCTTTACAATTTGCCATTTATCCACCACCAATACCTATCAAAACCATCAACTTAGCTAGATTCTCAACTAGTTAATTGCACATTCATAAAACTCTGAAAATCACACCCAACATCTCTTTCTACTTCTTTCTCTTCCCTAAAATGCCTTTTATTTCCTAGCATGGATTCTCTATAAAATCTTTGCACATATCACCCATGAAACCACCTCCCACAACCATTGCCCCAGGGTCAATCTACCCATATACATAACAACCATTTGAAGTCTACTTTAAAATTCTAAAAGGAGTAATTAAGGCATTGGATGGTTTAATTTGGACTCATCTAGTTCACCCTTATGTCATTTTAAACAAGGTGTATTCATATTTGAATGATATTGGCACTAAGTATTTTCAAAATGAATCATTTTCCCTTTTGTTAGAGGTGTTTCAAAAATGTCTATGATTGAATAAATAGCTTCCCAAATAAATAGATCGTATCAAATTATAAAATATAAAGATTTGTACAATGGATCCTTTCCATCCACCTTTCCCTTTAAACAACCAACAAAAATTACCACAACTCTAATACATCATCATTTTACATCCTTGATCGATCCTCCTAAATCTTCAAGGGGACCACAAGTGTATCTCTTTATCCCTTTACCTACACTGTATCCTCCTATACCATTCACTTCAAACAGCCACCTACCTTGTTTATTGTTCTTGAACATGTCTATCCCAGACTACCTATAACAAACATGATCCTTAAGAAGGAGCTCAAACTATACTTTAATTAGGAGAAATCTTCACGTCATCAAATGGTCAAAATCAATTATTAACTAACTAACTAGATGAATATCTTTGACTCATTTGATGCATTACTACTATGAAATGAGATGTTACACCAAATATTACATGAAACTAGTTCTTCCATTCTAAAGATGTTCCCACCTTTATTGATCATCATCAATTCAAATTATGCAAGAATCATTTATCCATCACTTTGATGACAAAGACATATACTTTGTCAAACTAATAAATGGTTCTCTTATTGAAAATATGTTACTTCTATCCATCAACAACCGTCCAATAATTGATCTTCAAAGACAACTGTTTCAAGTTGCTCGCTTGCTCCCCCGAACAATTAAGTGAATAATAATACGATGTTGCAAAAACTTAGCCAAATTGATGTTGTCTAAGCTAATATAAACTTTAATGGCAAAATTGCAGTTGATTCTACACATTTTTTGTTTTGTTCAAGGAACCTCATATGTTGATAAAGTTAAAGTTATTGTTAATTGTCCAACTTTAATGCACAAGCTCAATCTGAACCATCACCATCCTAAGAAATCATCTTACAATAATTGTAGATAACAATTTTGAATCCGTTAAAAAAATTTATCCATTATCCTTTACTAAACCTACTCTCTTAACAAAAGATAAAATTTTAGTCATATATATCTTATCCACCATGCAACAAAATAATATATAACAAAATGATGCTCTTCAAAGATAATAAGAAGAACATTATGAAGTCAAACACTAATTTATAGTTCATAGTTAGGAAGTCAAATAATACTAGTTTGAGATGTAATTTAAAATCTATCAAAAAAATTTATACTTTCATTACTTTAATCCTCAATGACCTTAAGCATAACCCAACATCCATCTCCATACTAACATTTATCTCACAAAATCTTCTACCCTAAGACGAAATCATTCACCATCTTACCCCCTCTAAATTAACACATAGTATCATTACCAACCAAGTAACCTTTAACAACCCCACCATGGCCACCATAAAATGGAAAACTATTTTAATTTATCAATTATTTGTTACATTGTGAACTTTGCCTTTACTTATAAATATACATGTTATAAATTCATGTAAACCTTCATTTTAAATCATTCATACATTATGAATTTAGTGGGAGTTCCAATGCATATCTTTTTATCCTCCATAATATGTTTTATATTTTGCTATTAAAGTTTATATTTTGTCATCATTAAAAGAAGGGACATGTTTAGAGTTGGACGAATAATAATGAGTCACTAGACTATATGTTCTAATGGTCAAATTAACAATAAAACATAACTTAATATTTTAATTGATAATAAATTCAAACTAATTGTTTAAATTAAGTTAAAGATGTTTCAAATTCTTGATTGATAAATTATTATACAACACATGACAAGTGAGTATAAAATAAAATGACAAGTGATCTAAGTCAAAATATAAAAATACCATCATTTTGCATCCTATAATCAAATGTGGACAACTCATCATTAGACAAAAAAAAGTAATGAGTCATGTGTATGTCATTACTTGTATAATCTTATATACATAGTCAAGGATTTTTCTCTTTAGTATATACGACCCACAAACATGTAAAAGTGTTATAATTGTTGAACCTTAAATGAGAATTCAGATAAAAAATTATATCTTGAAGGCTATACCAAAGCAAACTTTCAAGAAGAAGATTGATAACGAAAAATTTAGAAGCAAATGAAATAAACTACACTAAGAATTTAAAATACCCATGAAAGGAAAAAGGCCCAAGAAGAATAATCAAATCTCATCTTATTTTAATACTTTTATTTATAAACTAATAAGTTTTATTCATTATTATGAATTTTTTAGTAGTTATTTAAATAAATTGTTTGTTGTGAAAGTTAGGAGTGATTATGTGAAAAAACATATGGGAGTTTAAAGATTGAGAGGGAGTTTTTAGGATGTGTCATGTGACATAGAAAATACTTATTGTAAACTAGGTAAAACCATTATGAATATTTATTTTGTATTTTATTTTGATTAGTGGAAGCTTTTGTTGTTGTGTAATGGAGAATTAT